GAGAGCACCTTACTAGTTAAATTATCAATGATCCTCCTGAATGTACATCATGAGGCCATTCGTGTCAATTTATCCGCACATTTCGAAAAAACTAGCCTATCTTAATAGCAAGGCCAGTTTGATTAAGGTTTATTCTTTAAAAGTTTCTGTTTCATCAGAATTGCCTCCATTTGTAACGATTTCTTTGCATTAACTGCTCTCTTGTAAGAATCGAGAAAGCTGTTAACGGCAAATAAAATGTGAAATTGCTCACCTGATTTTATGCTTGGCTAGTGTAGGCATAAATATTCTCTTTATTCATACGTTCAAGTACAACGATCTCAATGCGAATATTAACCTGTCCTGAGCAATGCAACAAAAGGCCTCTTTAACAATTCTAACCATTTATTTTTCTGAAGAGCTACAATTGCTGTATGAATTTCCTAATCTCGCTTCTTTGGCCTACTCATATTTAGATGGGCTGACCATGAGAAGCTTACATTGTTCAGGCCTGAAGCACCACTAACCCCAAAACTCATTTGCTCTGTGTACAAAAGACAGAAACATGTATGCATGCTTAGCAGCCAAAGGCTTGCAGCAATATTATAACCAAGATTTTTCTGCACCCACGACCATTGATATGGTCATGATGCATATATTCGTTTGCTTATATAACTCATGTTTATTCGAGAAAATCACGTTCTCTGGCTCAGCATAGGTTTCATCTAGTCGAAATAATATATACATAAATATATAAATATATATAATTTCATCGATGCTGGTACACATGACAGGAGGGCTACATCGAATCCCGTTAGGCTGGTGATGAGACTTGGACGAAACTGTTCTCTTGGCTTGAGCAAGAAGTTTTTGTTCATTGCGTTGTGAGAAACACGAAAAGTAGTCGTTTCTTCACCTCGGGCGAATTAGGGTGATTGTTTCTGATAAGGCATTTAGAAAAGTTTGTTAACAAGAAGCGATTTTATGGGAAAGTTTGTGGGTTCACTTGCTTTTTACCCAATTCGTGCTTCTCTCTGTTTCCCTTATTTTCTCAATCACCACACAGGTGTACTATTACAGAAGGTCCATCCGAAAAAGCTACTAGCTCAGCCAGATAATTTTTTTATTGTTCAAAGTTGTGGAAGCAGCAAACGCAATTTTAGAATTAAAACACTCTTGAAATGAAGATGGACTCTCGCCTAAAATTAGAAAAGTGATAGATTAGTTGAACACAAATGTATTTTCCATTACACTAATCGGAGTTATTTATATTATGTATGAGTATTTTCTCAGACTCAGTAGTTCTTAAGACAGAAATCAACCTAAGCTCAGTGAATTCTTATTCAATCATGATTCTTACCAGACTCGGACAGTGGACGTAGTAGTATGGAAGCCTAACTTGACGGTGCAGATTCCGTTGTCACTGGGCCTTATGGGAATCTATTAAATCTCGCAGCCAAGCCTTCACTTCATGGACCGCGTCTATGCTCAAACTTACTGAATAATAAGAGATGTATTCACCCTATTTAAAGTGTTTAAAAACTTGTAGTTGAATTTTCCCACAATTACATAAGTAGAAATGACTTTTCCAGTGAAGTTCGCATAGCGCTGTTGTTCCTAAAGATATTCTCATCTAGACAGAGGCGACTGCAGTTTCTACCTCGCCTAGGTCTTATCAGCACCCTTAGCAGGAGTCGAACCATGAAATTGCAGTGTGTAATCTCGAACCGTCAACGACTACGCCGCATTGTCACTAGTGACCTTGTCTCACAGGGCAGATGTAAATTTCAAGGAAGGCCAGACATTTTTCCATTGCATATTCTCTGGAGGTATTGTCATCGAAGCAAAGTTATATTTGCTGTCACAATCTACTAAATTACTTATTCGAATGTATAAAGACCAAGATGGTGTGGCCTTTTGTGTGATGGCAGTCTCCTTTCGTTGTATAGACGTTGTTTGACCTCAAAAAGACAAGTCTTTGACGAGTTTTTGTGTGGTGCTAAGAATGGCGAGACTCACTAACGATGTCGACTATGATGCCGGCAAAACGTCTGTGAATGTACCACGTCCATGGTCCTACTCTTGGAATGATTATGCATACAATGAATTCCGGACTAGGTATGTTCCCCTAAGTCTTCATACCAATATGACCAAGTTGCAAAAATAAGGTCAAACAACCTCTAAATTACTTACTTTTTGTTCATAAGTTGGGTTTCGAGGACACCAGTAAATCAGTTAGATAAATCGGGAATCAAAAAGACGACCAAAGGTAGATATGCTTGCAAAAAATTACTATTTTTCGAATTAAGTTTTATTTTTCGTGACTACCAGTAAATCAGTTATAAGATGTATTCACCCAATTTCGTTTAAGGTGATGA